GAGAGAGAGAGAGAGAGAGAGAGAGAGAGAGAGAGAGAGAGAGAGAGAGGCCTTAAACTCGCTTTCTTTCTCTTTTTCCGAAAGGGGTTTAGCCCTTAGCATAATTCTATCCACGAGGCAGGGTGTTCGAGGACCCCTTCTGTTTTTTTTGTTGCGTCGCATCGGGTGCTGTGCGCGAGGTGCGCCAGACGTGCGCAGAGGCGTGCACCTCAGTGCGCCGCAATTATGGTTCTTAGTTCCTTTTTTTTTTTTTTTTAAGACCAGGTTGCTATAGAGGTCGGGTATCGAGGGGTGAGGGAGGGAGAACGGGTAGAGGTTGGAGTTCTATAGGAACGACCGGTGGGGGAGGGAGAACCGGTAGAGGAGGGAAGTGGAGGGTCAGAGCAGATGAAAGACAAACTTCACCGGGTTTGTTTGTTGTCATGTTCGCTATGCACACAACTCCATGAACAAAACATGACGGTTCCAGACTGCTTCGTCCAACTTTCACTGGCTCATCAGGAGGTTGTGTGCACACGCGTGTGTGTGTGGCCCTATGCATACCCTCTGTGGATAAAATGACTCAAGGGGCAGAGATCCTCTAGAATGCCTGCAATAAACACTGGCAGGCATCCGAAAGATACGACTGCCTTGTTTTTGGCGGGGTACACGCTTCCTCCGCCCAGCGTGTGCGCACACCATGGGTCGATAGTATCTATTTCGTTCTTCTTACCAAATCTGGTCTGCAGCATACAGTTAAGTTTCACAAACCTTCACTATAATCTGCCTTCGATGGTCGGAAATATCCCGGAACTCTCCCGGAACTCTCCCGGAACTCTCTCGGAACTCTCCTGGACCTCTTCAGGAGCTATCTCGCTTTTACCAGCACCCTTGCGACCATGTCCCGTCATCCCTCTTCCTGAACCCATTCCACTCCATCGTCCCAACAGCCGGCTATCACCATCCCAGCTTGTCCCACTATCAGCTTATCACTGTCCCACCGTGTTCCACTATCACCTTATCACTGTCCCACCTTGTCCCACTATCACCTTATCACTGTCCCACCCTATCTCACTATCACCCCTAGTGAATAATTCACTGGTCTGTCCATTTCGCATGAGCTACAAATTCCCAACCCCCCAGCTTTTCTAGGCGGAAGAGTTTCTTTGGGACCTATGGTCCCCATTACTGTCCATTACGTTCTTCACCCGAATACAACGTACGGTCACTATATATTGTCATATAACTATGAACTAAAAGAGAGCAATTTGCAAAACAAACGGCAAAAAAAAAAAAAAAAAAGAGAAACATGAAGGGCACAGTGAAACCATTCATTTTACTCATTCTTCTTTTGACTCCCCTCTCACCGTGCCTCTCACATACAAGGCTCGCCACGTTGATGAAGTTGAGCGCGAGCTACCCCCATCCCCGTGTGCCGTACCAGCCCATAGTTGTATGTATTTGGGCCACCTTTCAGTCTATAACAATGATGACCATGCTTTCTATTCGAAGGAAGAAGGCAGTACTAGTATCGTCCCTTTCAAAGGTTGAGAAAGTTTGCAGAATCCCTCATACCCTCGACGTTCTCTTCATTAACCTCAGTCAGGTGGTGGTTAGGAACTTGGGGTAATTCCTGCATGGACTTGAGTCCCCACTCTACTGGGTTGGTCCAAGAGCAGACTGCTGAGAAGATGCTGTTGATCGCATTCAAATCCCCCATCTTCCACTATTCTCACAGGGTCTGCTCAGTCAATCCCCTGTTGTGCAGGGTAATCAATGCTCGCAGACCTCACACTGTTTTTCACCTTCTCAAGATGTTTTCTTTCAAGGGACGCTGGACCCGTTTTCCAGCAGGTGACGGACGCTCCCCACTAATAGATGGAGCCTCTCCCCAGGTGTTAGTGGTGTCTGCTCTTACCAGCACCACTAACACTGGTCAGGGTGTTAAAAAAAAAAAAAAAAAAAAACCTCCATCTTCCAAACATGCATTTCAATGCCGACAAATGAGCATATTCCCCACGCGTATCAGACCATCATTGCACGTACATTCATATTCAAAGTTCCCAACTTCTGAACAAGAATAGATTACGGAATACTGGCGAGCATCGGATGCCTACCGCCGTCTACCATTCACCCGTCTATATTTCTTTCTTCCACACATTAACCTTTCCACATCTCTTTCCTCCGTACAGAATATTGGTGAGCATTGGATGCCGAGCAGTACGCCATCCAGCTGTCTACAGACTCTACACGTCTTTCCTCCAAACTGTCTACAGACGCGACACGTCTTTCCTCCAAATATTTCTTTCTTCACACAACCCATACCACCTACTCTATACCTGTTTGCGCTGGAAGTTGTACATTCTTCGCGCTTATTTCCTGTTTTGCACTGTCCCTACCAGTGGAGGGGTGCGCCCCCCGCTCTCCCTCCCCTTCCCCACCCACCCCTGCATCAGCCAAATGTAAACAATGCCCCGGCAAACCACAATGAATTCCATGAAGTCAATGCCAATACCAACTCCAATTCCAACGCAATGAACTGTCATAATCAATTGGCTCGTAGAGCGAAAGTATGTGATAACGCCCAGCCTGCCATTCAGGAAAGCGATAATCAATTGTGTTTGAGTGGCAAGAAAACAACAGTGGCAAACTGCCATCACTCGTTGCGCTGATGCTGAGGCAACAAACACGGCACCAACAGCGCACTCGTCGAGCTTATATTGCACCACCCCCTTCCGGTTCGCCACATACCGGAAAAAAGAGGGTGAGCCCCACACACACAGAAGCAGGCATCGTCATGATATACTCACTCTGATCAGCTGACCATACCCAGCAACCGGCAAGCCGTTCATCGATTGCGGATTGTCAAACAAACCATCATTCTCAGGGACATCCACAGTCCTTTTTTTCTTATTCTTTTACAGCAATCCCACAGAAAATGGCAAGCTTCAGGACGACTGAGGAGAAGTTAACCAAAGGCTTATACAAGGAGGAATTTGATTGTCAACGAAAGGTTTTCTGGACACTTTCTTTTTTTTTTTTTTTTTTTTGAAGGGTGAGGGGAGGGTGGAACGCTTTCAAGAGCTTGCACGCACCACATCATGTAGGAGCAAAGGAATCTGAAGGATCATCTGCCTACCCCTCCATGTGCCGGCAAAGTAGACTTTTCACTAGCACAGCTTACCGATCGATGAGATGCGGGATGGAATTAGAAACAAAGCCATCGCAGTTAACTCGTACTCCACACGGTAGGATACCCGAGACAGACAAACTGTAGTTTCTCCTCTACACCTGTTTCATCCACCATAACAGCAGCAGCACAGCGTCCTCCTCTCCGGCCTCCTTTCAGAAAACTTCTCACTAGTCTACTCTAACCAGCAGAACTGTCTGCTCTGCAACTGTCCTAACCACCAGCCTTTTGTAGAAGAACTCTGAAATGGGCTTTGATCAAATCATGATGATTGCATTAAGGAGGCCAAAAAGATCTGCACACTTGAATTTGGATCTGCAAGCTGACCAGGCAACTGCAGACAAATACCACCACATGCATTAAGCCAAGGGGCAGAGAACCAAAAGATCAGAAAATTTCAGAATGCATGGAAGACTACGGCTGATTATTACTACCAGTTAAATAAACACACACACACACACACACACACACACACAC